TAATGATAATGACTGATAATAAGAACCAGACACTAGCAGGAAGGATGTTATTAATGAATCCTATTCCAGGAAAGTTTAAAACTCGTCTAAAACTCCCACATCTTTTTCTTTAATTGTTACTTCTGTGTATGTTCACCTGTTAAATGGTCCCTGGTACTGTTTTGTTATACGCATTCCCACTTTCCAGACAATGCCCATGCACAGTCTAGTGATATCATGTGTGAAGGATTGTTCTCAATAGTCAGCTTGGATCTATCTTCTCTGTGGGGGGGAGACCACTGAGATCACTGTGGAGAGAGGCAAAGCATTTGGCCTTAGAATCATAAGCTACTTCCAAGCTGGAAAAAATCAGAACAGAAAAGATCTTCTCAGTTTAGACATAATCTAAGAGTTCCTCATTTTAACAAAGGGAATTCAATTGGTTGTTCCATGTTTTATGTAGTTATTTATGTACCTGACTAGGACTGGGACTAAAATTGCTCAAAAATTTTGTCAGTATGCAGCAGTACTGTTAGGTCAAAGAACTAACCTGAGGTAAAAGACCTGAAGTGAAAGACCTGCAGAGATGTGACCATGTACCAAGTTTGCTGGGATTAAAGTATGAGCTAAAAGTGCTTTCAAGTCCGTTGTCTTCTGCAAAGTGTCCTACATGTCTATTTTTATGCAGAGAGTCCATGTATAGCCTTTGAGAAGATATATGAAGACTGGGCTGGGGAACTTTAGGAATCTGCTACAGTTGGAAGCTAAATGTTTCTAGGAGATGGAATGGAGAATTAATTCAGAACATTCTTATTTCTAGTTCTGCTAGAAAAGTAGTTATAGTCTAGTTTATAAACTAACTGAAAATACTAGTGGTATTTCAAGTCTATTTTATGAGGTATTGCAAATACCTTAAACACCACAGAATATGTTAAAAGTATAAAACTCAATTTTATATGTTATAATTGCTGCATAGCTGGGTATCAGAGTGGCTTGGATCATTAGTTCCTTGGGGAGTGAGAAACTCCCCCAGCCATTCTTCTGTAGAGGCAACACACTGAACATGAGACAAGGTGATTGACTGATATCCCACATCCTTCACAAAGAAGTATTTGAGTAATTGCTGCAGGAGGTTTCAAGGTGCTTTCAAGAAGGTTTTCAGGAATATTTCCTTCAGTCTGTTCCTTCTCTGGCTGTACTAATTCAATCTGCTCAAATATGTTGATTAAAATCTCAAGTGGAGAATCTAGCCCTTCCAGATATTCTCTTGGGTGTTTCTTGCTGTAGAACTAACAAAATTGGACATAGATAAGGTGCTTGTAAATGTTCTATAGAGACTGTTGCAGCAGATACAGAAATCGTCATGTAGGGCAGCCTTTGTACATAGGGAAGACAGTTAGGAGAGGTTTTATGTGCCGTTAAGAGAGCCAGTAGCTGGAGCAGTCATGTAGGGCCACAGACCAGCTGGAATTTATGAACTGAACAGAACAGGAATTTAGGAAGACTTATGTGATCCAGCTGAAGACACCATTGCAAGGATGCATTCAACAGAGAGTCCTGTTTCCATCTGTAGAGAAAGTAACTGTCCTGTTTGGGAGTCTCATTCTCCATGCAAAAGTTGCCCAGTGCCAAAATCACAATATTATTTAAAAAAAAAAACCCCAACAAAACAACCCACAACAAACACTGTCTGTGTGTGATTGTGCCACACAGTCCAGATCATCTGAAGGCTAATTTCCACAAAAAATCTGCCACACAAATAACTAAATGTTTTCTAGCAAAAAAAATGAGCCAAGCTTTCCAGCTGCAAAAGAGCAATTATGGCTGGCTGAGTTTATCCAGCATCAAGGTCACTTGGACTATAGCAGTTAGTTATGTTATTCTGAAGGTATAGCCTGAGGAGAGCTGCAAAAGGCTAAAGTGTTCATTGCAGAGTTCTTTGGTCCTGTAGATATTTTCACCTTAGTTGCCAAACAATTAACAATGTGATACACAGTTAGAGACCAATTATTTTTTAAAGGGAAAGAGTATTGAATCTAAAGGTTTGATTAGCTCACCCAGGTAACTGTATGTTATCTTGTTCTGACTGCAAACTACCTATAACTGCCCCGTCTCCACAAGTCAGAGTTATTCCCCTAAGCAAACATGGGCTCAAAATACTTTTAATCAATTTATTGCCAATAAGTGTTTTGAGATTTCTATTGTTATTAAAGCTCACACAAAATAATTCAGACTTCTGTAATCTAAAATACAAAATATTGTTGGTTATTGCTCCACGATACAAGACATCCATCCAGTAAAACAGTGGCAAGCTGTACTATATTGTATAAACAGGAGTACAGACAGTCCAGGGAGTATTCTCACACGCTCCACTGGGACTTTCAATATAGAGGTTAGCTCACATTGGTGGGAAAAGTCCATTACTTTTGTCTAGTATCTGAGACAGTTGAAATATTTTTCTATATTGTGTTTCTAACTAATGCCATAAAGCATAATGAAGACATGTCAGAAGAAGAAGATACTTCTAGGGAGAACAGGATTGTCCAGTTGTACTTAAAATATTTTTTCATCTCTGATGACAGGTCAACAGTATACTTTATGGCTGTAATAAAAAAATGCTGCACGTAATGATGCATTTCTAGAATTAATCAGCAAATACAAGAACTTTCCAATTAGTCCAGGTATCTAAGGGATTCACAGTGTTGCCTGACTCCATCTTCTCAATCACAGTTATGACTCAGCTTATGGGACAAAGGACCTTGATAAATCAGGTCTCCAACGAGAGACTCACAGGAAACATGCTTAGTTTAATGCGATTTCTTTGCTAACTGTTATGGATATAATCTTTTTTGAGGTAGTCAAAACTTAAGTAGTTCTTACAAAGCAGCTTTATATGTAGATTTAGGTGCTTAAGCCCTCCCTATTTTCAGTGAGATTTCTAACAGGATCCATTGATGGTAGGAACAGATCTAAGGCTGGTTCTTATTAAGTAGGAATCTATTGAAAAAAACACTTTTCTTTATGATAGAGGAAATCCAGCAAATTTTTGAGGGCTGTCGCGGGTGCGGGC